CCACCTCTTCCACGTCAGAGCGAATCCCAGCGACAGCCATTCCACAATCATTCAAGGAGTAAGAGTGTCTTCGATCGAGTCATTCGCTTCCTTTTTATATGCGCACGAAGCTTAAGGTTTTCCATTAACTACTCTACGTTTTTATGCCAAGAAGCATATGCAACGTACAGGCTGCTTCATGCAAGATGGTCCATTTGATGCTACGTTAAAGTAGAAAACTTCGTCAATGCATCTATATAGATATAGAGTGACGATAACGAAACCGCATAGAACCGACGCAAAATTACTTTCGAAGCTGAAACTACCTGTTATAAATAACAAGATATTTTGGAGTTGTCTAAGGAATCCTATAGTCCTCACGGGTTAACTTCGAAACAGACCCGCACGGATTTTCTTGAAGAAAACAAAATTTTGTTTAACACTTTAAATATCCCTGTACCAGAATCAACCGTATGCGCCAACATCGACGCGTTGCATGAGAAACACGTGGTGTTTGTGAATTGCGCGTTGAGTACCGTAAATTAAAAAGTTTATGCCGCGTTCCCAGTCCACGTAAGCGACGGAAGAAGTTTTGCGTGACTGGCAAGAATGTTAATTTGTCAGTCGAGTCGGGAATTCAGTACAGTTTGAAAAAATCATTTTTCAGTACCTGGACGAGCCGAGTCAGAGTTCTTTTATTTGGTTTCGTTTCATTCATCTTTATCCTTGTTCTATTTCCATTCCTTTATCTTTAATAGAAATAAAGAGCGCGTAGGTTTCGAGGAGCGTCGCAGATAGAAATCGAAAGTCTCTTCCCTCTCGAAGATGAGTTTCTAGTGCATCCTCGAAGAACCGCGATACAGCATCCAGACTGGACCAAAGAGGTACTTCTTTAGAAGTTGAATTTTTTTCCTCTCTTTGCCACTTTTTTTTTCAATTTCATTCTTCTCGACTGCCTCTGTCTCGATCTCGAGTCCAGCATCTTCTTCGAGTTCCTTGATATCACGCTTCGTCGAATCAGTACGATCATTAAACTCGTGATGCGTCTGTCTCATGATGCAAGCGGCCACCTCCGCGTAACACCTGTCTTCCACAATGAATGGGTTCCAGAACGTCACTGGAACAAAGAGAAAACGTGAAGATAAATCGCAATGTGAAAGCATCCGATCGCAGTAGTAGCATCGGTAACCCTTGAAAAAAAGAAATAAATTCACACTATTGGAATAGCCGAGTGATACGAACGTGGCAATTCTTCGCTACGACTATACGAGACAGGATCGATCGATTGATCGATCAGACACAGTGGATTACGAGAGTCGACGATTCCTTTGAAAAATGATGTCTCTGCTAGTCAGAGGAGGTGTGTTAGAACCTTGACCATTTTTTCTTTCTAAAGATAACCATGACTAACTTCCACATCCATTTTATGCTCAATAACGAATTATCGATGGTTGTAAAAATCATCGATGTATTGACTTGTAATCGAGAGGATTATTCGTGCACGTATCATCCTTCGAAACGTGACGGATTTAACAGCAACACGGCCCAAAGCCACCTCTGTCATTGTTGCAGCGAGCGAAACGGATATTCGACGAAATGTCATTGAGTCTTTAAATTGACGCAATCGATTACGAGCATCGTAGAATCTGACGAAATCATTAGCGAATAGAATGCAATGACAAATATCATCGAGAAAAAAAAAAGATACAGGCAGATTTATTATGACAAAAAATTTTTCACAATTCGACTCCTCGAGTCATTAAAATCACGTGAATCCAAGCCGGTCGATCTGTTAGCATGTATATTTTTTGTCTACGTCGCTCGAGATGCTGCGTCCACGTTACGCGCAATTATTCATACGACGAATGATCCCCCGCACGGCAATACGTTTACCTGCCATACGTTTTCTCCGACTTTAGCCAAGACTGAGAAGGCTGGCTCTGAAGATTCAATATATCTCGTCTTGTTTCTCATGAAAGCGATACCACCTAGTGGTGACGTATCGCAGCAGGAATACGCGGACGAGGCATTCCACAGTAGACGCGGACGTATTTCGCGTTTGCGTAAACCACAATTGCGCCATCTCAACCTGGACCGGCAAAGGGACGCTCGACCGTAATGATAATGGCAACCAGCTAATAGGTTACGAGAATCCTACACGTGAAACACGCAACGAGCATCGACGACCGGAGAAGCGGATCATTTTAATCCAGCCATTGTAACACTTTGATCGTTTATAAAGATAAATGATCCAGTAAGAAAAATCATCCGACCTGATCCAGATCGATACGAAGAAGCATGTCTCATCGGTAGTATTTACTGTCATTTTTAATAACCCCATCGGTAATGTCACTTTACCTACCAGCAGACTCAATTAGCACGGCAAACTTCTTCATTGATCTTCGCGGCTGGTCGATACGTCGAGGGATGCAAATCCAATGGCGATTTACGACAGAGCAACACGTAATGAATATTCCACGTGGAACGTAACTCCGCTGCCACTCACTTCTACCCATATACGTCTGTCGCGGCAGCTGTTGACTTTACGTGAATCGTTTTAAGCAGCAGCTCAAAGTACGTCTCGTGGACAAAGTACTACTTAGAAAAGAATAGGAACAATGGCGACAAGGTTTGCAATGGCAATGATTGGCAATGATTTTTTTTTCAAAAATTTCAAAACTCGAATCAATGGAAACAAGGTACGAACGTCATCGACTCTTACGATACGTACTTATCAGTGATACCAACCTCCTTACAAGCTGATCCTTTGAATCGGTTTGGCGGCACGTTGCGAAATTGCTAATAGTCGTGCGGTAAGGATGACGTCAGACTCGGCACTGTTCTACGATATTGTTATTATTATTCGATCCCACAATTTCTGCATGACGCACCGTGCACTATGCACTATTCGTATCTGAATGTCTGATTACTCGAAGGTTTAGCCAGGTGTATCCTGTATGAATCATTTCTGTATGATGATCGGCGTATGGTGCAAGGAACTGGCGAGACCTTGACAATTGGTCCGGACCATTTAATCCAGGATGCGATTGACGATTGTATGCATCGCAGGAACGTTACGTTTTATATTTATTATACCCCGGTATAGCTGTATACGATCCTCTCACGACTTCTCCTTGGCTCTGGATGCTGTAGCCTATTTTGATAAAGGTCCTTTCCGTTCGATCATTTATCTCGATTGGGTCCGCCTGCTCCCTACAGGCTCAAGTCTAATGATCGCTATTGAGAAATCAAAGTGATACTGGCAAGTGGCACTTTTTACGTTTGACGTTAAGGATATAAAAATGGGAAATAAGAGTCCCTGTCGGTTGATAAACGTTCCCCTTTTTAGTTCCCCTTTCGCTAAATAATTAAGAGCGTGATCGTCTTGTGTGCATTTCTTTTATTCGTCAATTGAGCAAATAGCATTCGCGGATAATTGCGTTCGTAAAACGGATAGATTATGCCGTACAAGGTACTTACATCGATCTCTTGTCATCTCGATCTATTGTCATCCACGGTACATCGGCACTGGGTGCTTTTACCATTTTTGTCGCAGGCTCTCCATGTGAGCGATACGTGCGATTGGCGACAACGGGAGAGCGACGTGCGCGACGCAAGCGAATGCCCAATATCGTGTTTACCTCATTTGATGACAATAGAGAGAATAAGAGTGAAACGTACGAAGCGCGTGATTGGGGAATAATGATTGGACTTCAGTGGGAATCAAATGGTCACCGCTCGGAGGAGTGAATAGCCGAAGGCCACAGGTCGTCACCTTTGTGCCTGGATCATACGAATGGAAAGATCAGCCTTTGCCGATGATTTACGGTCGAATCTTGATTTATGTTCTTCGTCCGTCTCCTTCTCGCACACTGGAACCAGCTAGACTCCGTCTCGTTTCTCTCGATTGTCAACACTCGGTTCGACTACGTTGGCTCGGCGCACTTGGAACTGTGCATGACGAATGCACGTTAATCAGTACCAATTAATAAAACAATTTGTTTCCATGCTAATTTATACTCGCGCACTTTGAAACTTCTCTCGTAAGATTCGAGCGCTTTCCAACTGTTAACGAAACGACTGCACTTTGTCACTGTCATCTTGAGCATACGTCATTAATTCTTGGGCTGTCGATCCTATTCGTCTTCGGTTTTCATTTTTTGGAAATACTCCGCCGGCTGTGCGCTCGCGGAATATTGCAAGGAAAGATGGTTAAGTTGTCTGGTAATTGACTCTGGGAGGGCGGCCATTGTGAGGAGGATCTAGATCCGATCGAGGGGATCGAGCGAAGGTCGATTCGTATTCCAAGATCGTATCTCTTATTCCCACGATGTTGATCTTAGTGTGCATCGAGTACTCGACATTGCTGGGAGATAATTGGCTAATGTCAGGACGGGGATAAAAATCAATATGATGACGTAAACGGCCATTAGGTGTAATATACGCTGCAGGAGAATCTGTGGGATTTACGAAATTTTGTGTTATCGAAATTTGCGAGGAAAAAGTGAAATTTTATTCATTCGCTATTTCGATGGTTTCTTTTTTTAGAGACGACTTGTTGATCACGAGATAGATTTTTATTTTGATTTTTGGTCCAGCCAGCATCTCGTCAAGTTCTCATTTTAGTTCGTTTAATCTGCGCGGACTGATTATACTTGAAGACCTTGCGAAATCTTGCGACTAATACAATTTCCCAGTTTACCTACCTGCTTGTCAATTACGTAAATTGCTGTGTTTATCTTCGCAGGATCGTCACCTGCTTTGCGGCTACGGACGGTTGGACAATATAAAAGTCTTAAAGTTTCCACTGCTCCGTGGTCATTAATGGTGATAACTGTGATAAGAATGAGAGAAATAAAAATTTAAACGTTAAAAATAATATTATTTTGGCTCGCAAATTCATTCTTAATTATTTCAATGGGTTCTGTCGGTAGTAAAATTAGGACAAGATAATCTAATCGGTGAAACATTCTAATGGGGTGAACCTTGAGGTAACCGGAAGCTGTAACTAATTTTCTCAACAAAACAACCATTGGATACGCTTCGAAGGGTGTCGAAAGAGATTCTGAATTAAATTATCCTAAGAATCCAATTGGATTTACTGACCCTGTCCAAAACCTATAAATTATCCAGAATGAATGTATGTTTATGTTCCACAGGATTCAGGCTCAGAATTAATCATTGATTATTCAAGACCCTTTCCATATGAGAGTTCGACCTTGCGTATCAATTTAATTAAAACAAAATTAATTTGACAAATTTCAAATTGCTTTATTGAAATTTCACGGCTACCTTCTTTGTTACGTAAAAAACTTGGCCTCCGTGTTAAAATCGGTCAAGAATCCTTTTTTCCATTTTCACGTAAAAAAAAAATGGAAAACAATGTCTCGTAATCGTGGAAAAGTTTTTAAAGATAAAATCTCTTCTGGATCTACGAACAGAGACGGAATGCAGAAATGCATATGTGCAATCAGTATAATGCAGATGGGTGCATACGTGGAATTCGTGTGAAATAGAAACATTAGTCGTGGAAAATAAAAAAAAAATAATTTTCAAAGGATATGCGATTCGATAATTAACCTATAATCGCACAATTTTAGGTATGCCAAAATACATATGTAAATTGCAAATCTAATTAATACACGCGTGGTAATGATGATTAATGGCATTTATGGACACACGTAACCCAGAAATATTTTCTTCCGTTTTCAAGCAACGAAGTTAATTTTCGAAATTAAGAAAACGCGAACCAGTCGTGTAGCTGTATACCGTACGAAGTTCTCATGCATGTGATATAATACGTATATATGCATAATTTTTGTAAAAGTTATCCGGTTACCGCACGACATTGTTATGTATTGCACGTGAGAGTATATACGCGTCTGCGCGACCAGGACTTACCTGACTTACAATTAGAGAAAGAATAAGACAGCCTTACGAAATTCCCATCGAGCATTTTCCCGGAGACATTTCTTCCATTGGCGAATTCAATGACTGAATTAAATATTGAAATGATTGCCGATACGAAATCGCAATTGCAGATGCAAATAATAAAAGTGGCTTGTATTTCGCAAAATTACAAAGTGATGCACGTGACAGACGCTGTGTCGTTATTGCAAAATAATAATGGGAATTTGCTTAGGATTGCGAATGAATGATCCATATGGATCAGCTGTCATAAGAAGTGATAAAAATTGGCACGAAACGTGAAAGAAAAAAAATATATAATTCCAGGCTAAATGACATTTTGGAAACCGGAAGTCAAAAATCATAATAATTTTTGCATTACGTCTAACACGTAATCGATCGAGTCATCGATCGGTTACTTAACTATCGGGTTTCGAGGATGACGCTACTTTCTCAAAAGGTAACAACGAGCGTAGGAACGCGATGTTTAACGGAATATATAAGAAGTATGGGGAAGAGAGGTTCAGGTTTCGAGAGTCGTTCACGCCGTATGACGTGACCTATGACCTCACGTATTGCTTGATATTGTAATCATCTCCTACCTTAACGACGCTTCGGTCTCCGCTTTTACATCCTGTACGAAAGAATGAATTTTCGATACGGCTGGCATTGCTGTTAGATTCAATATGGACACTGTGTAGGTGCTGGTCGACACTACAGGCCGGATTGATTACGGTTCCGGGTTCGCCGGACACTTCGTGATTAGCTCGAGAGGAATGAGGAATGCTCCGAATGATTTGCATCATAGACCATCGGACCAGCCACACCTCGCAGCTTCACAGAAATCATTCTCGAATCCGATGACTTGATTTTGTTGTCCATTTAAAAAGTCCATTTTTCGGATTTATAAAAAAAGAAATTCAAAGATCATCAGAGAGCTCTCAAGAGGTATATTGCGTGTAAATGTATAAGGTTAAAAACAGAGTGTCGTCAAGCTATCCTTTATGAAGTCAGGTTGGCCAACCACCTCAGACATTAATTGCTGGTCCTATAGACTCGTCCTCTAATGTCCCTAGAGATTTCACTGAAACGCTTCTAATGTTTCCATCTTTTTATCTCAAGCCGGAGTGACTCGGCTGGTACCGAGAATAATGCTTATGGATTTTTGCGAAGGATACGCGGATAGACGGGAGAGGATACGGTGATAAAGTAGAGAAAAAAAAGTATTGAGAAATAAATGGGCAATTTCACTTGTCTCCAGTGGACGACGCTATTCAAATTGGAAGTCGCTTCGATTATGTCATCAAAGTTTGAAAATTACCCAGCGAAGCCCGGACTCTTGAGAAATTTTATGTGAAAAGTTCCTTCCGGTGAAAAGAGGGAGATGGTTCCAGCCAGTCAACCCGTTGGCCAGCCAGCTCGGCCAGCCTACCTGACAGCCACCCCAGCCAGCCACCATTCGTATTCCCATACCGACGTAAAACCTGCTCGAATTCTCAGGGCAAGTTGAAAGTTTGAAAGCTCTAAGAAAATTTATAATTTGGTACCGTTAGAGTAGCAATACCGAATTTCGTGAACCATTAAGTCAATTATGTAACGAAACCATGAAATCTGTGGTATATCGACAAAGCATCGACTTCTTATGAACAGTTAATAAAACGACTGATGGATCCCAAAGAATTTACAAGTTCTGAAGTAT